TGGCGCCAGCCAAAAGAAAAGAAAACCGCGTTGGCGTTTTGGCCAAGCTTGGTGCACGAGGGGAATCAGCCTCGGCGAAAGAGGCTCAGATGCCAATACATCACAGACAAACTTGAGAATCGAAATTGAGCCAACCCAAAAATTTCAAAAACTCTGGGCTACAAGAGAAGGACATTGGCACACAGGACGACCAAAAATGGCTGGTGGACCCCCATAAGGATAAATAAGCTCAAATTAGTTAAACGCAAGTCAACTTTGGAGACTTCCATTACTCCACAGGCTGTTGTGAAATCTCCGCCAACGCGACCTGCCTGTGTTATACATATGATTTTTCTTCTTTGTTAACAGGAAAATCAAAGTACTGATAATGTAAAACAAAGGAAAAAAAGAAAAAAAAAAAAGAAAAAAAAAAAAAAAAAAAAAAAAAAAAAAAAAAAAAAAAAAAAAAAAAAAAAAAAAAAAAAAAAAAAGAGAAGACCCTTTAATACAGGCGATTCTAAGTGCAACGAAGTTGCCTCTACCAAGAAAATCCGGGAACACCTTCAACTTTTTTGTCCATGTGCCAGCACAAAGTATGGCGTCAGAGTCATATAGGTCGCCTCGCTGTGGGGACGACCCTGGGAAGGAACATGGTGGACTGCATCCCCCGAATATGGGGAAGTTATAGGTCGCCTCTCCCACAGCGCCGGCTCTCACGTTCTTCTCCCCCATACAGGATAGACAACAATCTCAGCCATAGGCAAATCACACCCACTACTGACGCAACAGCTGATCAAAATGGAGTCACTAGTGACTAGACCTCTTTAGGCAGATTACTGTGCAGGCAATTAATACAGGATCAGATCAGCACATTTTCATCCATCATTGATTCAACACCCATCTCACAGTCTGACCGAGCTTCAAACCAATCCCCTTGCGTGGCACCGGCTGGACTATACACCATCAGTGGGTTACAGCCTTCAGCGACGGTCTCTGCGCTTCATCCTAGATGACGCTATGGTGGTTATCAAAGTGCCCATCACGACAAGAACAGAATTATAAGCCAGCACAGCAGACATACTGAAAATTTGGAGTGTCCTCCCTCCAACAACTCCCATCGGTGAAGTTCTCAAGCACACTTTGGCTCCAATCTCACAAAGTCATTCCTTCAGCTCAATGGCTTCAAGGGAGGAATCTTCCAGTTCCAAATATCTGCTGCAGCTGTGAATCCCAGATAGAGTGACCAGCGGACAACAAACACCTGTGGTGGGAATGCATTGAATCTAAACAGATCTGGGCCCTGGTGGGAAAGCCACCGCAAAGCCTTTGCCTCAGATTCCATTCCATGCATGGGCGGAACTTCGTCTGAGAAGAACTTTGGTATCCTCCCGCCACCACAAGATCTCCAGAACACAGGGCTGCTGGGGCTATATAGCCCTCACAACCAGAGCTGCCATACAAGCAACGATCTCGAAGCTTCGAAACGATCTACTTTAAGAAGAAGAAAAAAACTACACTACACTACACTATGTTCTTCTCTCAAAGTAATTTTGCATTTCACTACATTTTCACTACCTTCCTACCCCTACTACTAAAACTATACGACCTACTTTTTAGGGGATCGCTTTCTCAGATTTAAACAGTAAAAACCATGTTTCTTGACTATGTCAAGTAGCATGACCTGGGCTGACTGGTGGTGAGGAACCCGCAGAGGACGTAATAGAGGTCCTGCTTTCAATAGGTTCATACAGACTTGGGCTACCAACTATGGGCTGATGACATGTACATCTACAAAGCTACAAGGAAAAAAACCACTTGGCTACTTGAATAAACAACCCCAGTTTCAAAAAAAAAAAAAANAAAAAAAAAAAAAAAAAAAAAACAGACTACCAACCAACAGCTCCCTGAAATATTCCAAGTTGGCTACTCTCCTGAGGGCCTCTCTCCAGTGCTCTCGACGTGCACAAAAGAAAAAAATCATGGCAATGATGTATCTTTCCATGTTCTAGCGGAAGAGTCACTCTAGTGTTGCAGATTTCGAGAGTAGTGGAGCCAGGACCTGAGCCCTTCACAGACTAGAAATTGGACCCTAGGACCAGTCAGGCGGTGCTCCCAATAGACGCATAAAAAAAAGATGGCACGACCAAAACCGCTGGCAATCTTCCAAATTCGAAAAAAAAAAAAAAAAAAAAAAGCTGGGAGCAGCGAAGACCCACTTGTCAGGCGGTGCTCCCCACCACTCGAACAGAGGCATCTTTGTCGGAAAAAATGGGGAAAAAAAGGATGGCGCCAGCAAAATGGCCGCGGGCACCGGCGAAAAGAAGAGAAAGGATGGCGCAGCAGCAAAAAGAAGAGAAAGGATGGCGCCAGCAAAATGGCAGGCACCAGTGAAAAGAAGAGAAAGGATGGCGCCACCAAAATCGCGGGCACCAGCGAAAATACGAGAAAACTGTCGCACAGGGGGAATCCGCCTTGACGAACAGAGTTTCAGATGCCACTCACTCTACATCTCTCAGGCAAACTTGAAAAACTCGGAAATCGAAATGGCGCCACCCCGGCGATCTACCGGACCAAAACGGCAGGCCGGGGCTAGGTCCCACTTCCGCAAGTTAGGAGATTTCGGCCATTGATCTCTGCTATCTACGATCAGTCTCTCTTAATCCGTGCAAGTAGGACCTTGCCCCCGCCCCCACCAAAACAAACGAAAACGTCCCCTCTGGCTTTTCAGCAAAAAGATTGGGCGCGCAGGGGAAATCCAATCCGCCTGGGCAAAAAGAGGCTCGGATGTTCGCAGCCCGTCAGGGTTGCGGGCTGCGAATATCCCCCCCTGAGACATTTTTCATCTTCATTCGTTATTGACTTACCGTGAGGGCACGGGTGCGCAGCCCGTAGTTTGTATATGCTTGATTGATGAGAGAGAGAGAGAGAGAGAGAGAGAGAGAGAGAGAGAGAGAGAGAGAGAGAGATGGCACGGAACAAATCCAGATGGCACGCAGATAACCCGGGTCCACACCGTTTCAAATTCAAATTTCAAGGCCTTGCGGCCCGCACGCCGTTTCAGGCCTGGGTCCACCGTTTCAAATTCGAATTTCGAGGCCCTGCGGCCCGCACACCGTTTCAATTTTTTTTGGACTGCAAGGTTCCCAGGAAAATGCCACGGACAGCTACCAGTCCTGGATTTGCTTGAACTGCCGCCCCCCCCCAAATGCCAGTGCCGTTCATTTTACCAGCCTGTGAACGACCAATGGGCCCGAATGAATGACCGGTATAACAAACAACGACGAAAAATGTCTCAGGGGAAAAAAACGCAACCCTGACGGGCTGCAAATACCGGTCGTTCATTTGGGCCCATTGGTCGTTCAAAGGCTGGTAAAATGAAAGGCACTGACATTTGGGGGGGGCGGGCAGTTCAAGCAAATCTAGGACAGCTACCGTGGCATTGTTTTCCTGGGAACCCTGCAGTCCAAAAAAAATTGAAACAGTATGCGGGCCGCAAGGCCTTGAAATTTGGTCATGATTCGTTATACCGGTCGTTCATTCCGGCCCATTGGTCGTTCAAAGGCTTGTAAAATGAAAGGCACTGGCATTTGGGAGAGGGGGGGCAGTTCAAGCAAATCCAGGACCGGTAGCTGTCCGTGGCGTTTTCCTGGGAACCCTGCAGTCCAAAAAAAATTGAAACGGTGTGCGGGCCGCAGGGCCTTGAAATTTGAATTTGAAACGATGGACTTGGCATTTTCCTGGGAACCCTGCAAACAACGACGAAAAATGTCTCAGGGGAAAAAAACGCAGCCCTGACGGGCTGCAAATACCGGTCGTTCATTTGGGCCCATTGGTCGTTCGAAGGCTGGTAAAATGAAAGGCACTGACATTTGGGGGGGGAGGGCAGTTCAAGCAAATCTAGGACAGCTACCGTGGCAATGTTTTCCTGGGAACCCTGCAGTCCAAAAAAAATTGAAACAGTATGCGGGCCGCAAGGCCTTGAAATTTGGTCATGATTCGTTATACCGGTCATTCATTCGGGCCCATTGGTCGCTCAAAGGCTGGTAAATGAACGGCACTGGCATTTGGGGGGGGGCGGCAGTTCAAGCAAATCCAGGACCGGTAGCTGTCCGTGGCGTTTTCCTGGGAACCCTGCAGTCCAAAAAAAATCCCGCAGGGCCTTGAAATTCGAATTTGAAACGATGGACTTGGCGTTTTCCTGGGAACCCTGCAGTCCAAAAAAAATTGAAACGGTGTGCGGGCTGCAGGGCCTTGAAATTCGAATTTGAAACGGTGGACCCAGGCCTGAAACGGCGTGCGGGGCGCATGGCCTCGAAATTCGAATCTGAAACGGTGTGGACCCCGATTGTCTGCGTGCCATCTGGATTTGTTCCACGCCATCTCTCTCTCTCTCTCTCTCTCTCTCTCTCTCTCTCTCTCTCTCTCTCTCTCTCATCAATCAAGCATATACAAACTACGGGCTCCGCACCCGTGCCCTCACGGTAAGTCAATACCGGGGGGGCAAAGTCCCACTAGCAAACGGGGATAGGATTGAAGGTCTGAATCTGGACGCGTTTGCGAAAAAGTGCACAATCTCACAACAGATCTGCTGTTCTGCATTTCTGTGTAAAACACGTCCAGATTCAGGCGGTTAATCCAATCCTCTTTGCAAGTGGGAGCTCGCCCTGGGGGAAAACTCTCCAATTCAAATTCACGTCTGTGGAACACGAGCCAAGACGAACTACCGGGTATAGTGGTAGGTAGGTAGTGTGAGGTGAAATTGAGAGGAAAAAAAAAAAAAAAAAAAAAAAAAAACCTTCCGGGTATACAGAAGACACGGTGACACGACGGAATCAGTCAATCGCGTGACAACAAACGAGTCCACGGTCCACCCTCCCTTTCCAACCACCTCCTACACCCTCCTCTTTTTCCATCCCCTCCCTTGTCTGAGAGACATGTCATCCTCCTTTTCATCTTCTTCTTCTCCTCCCTCCTCGACTCAGTTTTCCATCACATCACAGCAGAGCCAAACACGGACCTGTGGACGTTGCGCCCAATCCGGATTCATACTCAGAAATTCAAACTCCACCACGGTGGACCACCACTTCAGCTTCTTCTTCCGTCGTTTCTCGCCAGCGACCAGGACACCGCTTCAGCTTCTTCTTCGTCGTTCTCGCCAACGACCGGTAGCTGGATGCTCCCCACCGGCAACTCCGACCCTGGCTCCTTCGCACCACTTCAGCTTCTTGGCCGTTCTCGCCAGCGACCGGTAGCTGAATACTCCCCACCGGCAACTCCGACCCTGGCTACTTCGCACCACTATCGCTTCTTGGTCGTTCTCGCCAACGACCGGTAGCTGAATACTCCCCACCGGCAACTCCGACCCTGGCTCCTTCGCACCACTTCCGCTTCTTGGTCGTTCTCGCCAGCGACCGGTAGCTGAATACTCCCCACCGGCAACTCCGACCCCCACTCTCGATAATGTGCTATCTCCATTTCCCGCCTTCGGGTCTTCACCTAGCGTTCAACCCTGGCTCCTCCTCCTCTCTTAATGGAACGCCGCACGCCGATCTTTAATTAACGTCCATGACCCTTGACTAGGTACAGTCTCCAGGCAACATACGTATGCCTTCCAGTGACCAAGTGCAGGTGAGATCGAGCCTGAGACTCCAACAACAAAAAAAAAACACGCTCAGCAGCTGCATACCCTCCTCGTTAAACACACTCCCTTTGGTTTAGGGTTTGTCCCTCCCCATGCAAGCAACTTCCGTTCGCCGCACTGACACACTCAAATCTGCAGTGCAGCTGTCGACTCATCTAATCTAATCTAGTAGTGAATATGATATTATAATCACATGCATGATTGATTAATCAATTTTTATTTCCTATGAATATGTATGTGAAATACAATTTCAGACGATACCAAGGCCCTTACGCACCTCGGGCTTATGCGAGAAAAGGGGTCCAGCGTCCCCGTCAACCCAAGAATGGAAACCATGACGGGGTTAAGAAGGGGGGGAAAACATGACGATAAGAGAGTGACGATGCCATAAATCCCTGACGGAGACGTCTCTAGCATTCTAGCATTCTGCAAGAAAACGTTCCTTGAAACTGTGTATTGCATCATGTGAAGAGCGGGATGGTTTAGGGGGGTCGAGGAGGGGGAGGGGGAAGAGGAGGAGGAGGAGGAGGAGGAGGAGGAGGAGGAGGAGGGGGACGGGCGGGGGGAATTTTCGATTGGCGAAGGCGTCGGCATCCACCTAGCAACAGCCGCTCCTAAGTAAGAGAGACCTAGGCAAACGATGGGCACAATTTGGACGTGCGGCAGATGCCCCCTGCCGTACCCAAGCAGTCGAACACCTTACATAGACAACTCCGGGAAATCTTAATGCGATAGATAGCACTCTCATCAGCAGCAGCAGCGCCAGAAGCGCAGCTCGTGCCCTTTCTTCCTATCACTTTATTCTTCGCTCCTCGATTGGTCGCTTGATTGGTCGCTTGATTGGTCGCTTGATTGATCGCTTTATTGATCGCTTGATTGGCCATTTGAACCGCTGATCCGCAAATCTTCCTTGCAAGTCACGGCGCAGGTAGACATCACCATCTCTCCTTTCGATCCGTACCAGTTTTCTCTGCCATCGCTTCTTTCGCTCTGGTACCAGTCTGCTTATTATTCCTCTTCTCTGAGGAACTCTCATACTTGTCTTGCTCTTCTTCTTCTTCTCCTCCTCTTGCTCTTTTTCTTCATCTCCTCCTCTTCCTCTTCTTCTTCTTATCCTCGTCTTGCTCTGTTTCTTCATCTCCTCCTCCTCTTGCTCTTTTWCTTCATCTCCTCCTCCTCTTGCTCTTTTTCTTCATCTCCTCCTCCTCTTGCTCTTTTTCTTCATCTCCTCCTCCTCCTCCTCTTGCTCTTCTTCTTCTCCTCCACATCCTCCTCTTACTCTCCCAACCGAGCGTGTTAAGGAAAAAGGAGTCGGCGGTCAAGACGAGGAACGATACAACCTCCTCCCAGCCACCGTCTCCTAAGCCCTCGTTCTGTCTGACCAGCTGTAATCCTCCTCTTGCTCATCTTCTTCTTCTTCTCCTTGCTCCTCCTCCTCCTCCTCCTCTTCCTCCTCTTGCTCATCTTCTTCTTCTTCTCCTTGCTCCTCCTCCTCCTCCTCCTCCTCCTCCTCCTCCCCCTCCCCAACTCCGTCTTGCATCCCAGCTGAGCGGATCACCAAACTGTCGACGAACACCCCTCGCGCCCAATTCGGATTCATACTTAGCAATCGAAACCGGACGACCGCGGACACCACTTCCGCATCTTGGTCGTTCTCGCCAGCGACCGGTAGCTGAACACTCCCGACCGTCAACTCCGACCACTCTGGATAAAGCGCAATATCCCGTCTTCGGGTCTTCACCTGGCGCTCAACCTTGCCTCCTCCCTCGACGGACACGCTGCACTCTGCTCGTCTATTGAACTCAAACCCACCACCCTCCTCTCGAGACAATCTCCAGGCACACGTGTACCTTCCACGTGGCAAAGTGCACGTGATCGAGCCCGAGATCTCGAACCAACACACGTTCAGCAGCTGCATACCCTCCGTAAATACACTCCCCTTGATGGGAATCCTAGACCAGTAATCAGGGTTGCTTCCCCATACAACTTCCATTCCCAGCACTGACACGCTCATCCGCAGCGCAGCTGTCGACTCGACCAATCTATAGTGGATATGATCACACCTACGATCGACAAATCCCCGAACTAGACGTCTATAACAATTCTGCAAATTTTCCTCGGGACGGTTTATGGCATCATGTGAAGGGCGGGAGGGGTCGGCGGGGGAGCTGGAGGGAGAGGAGGGGGAGGAGGAGGAGGAGGAGGAGGAGGAGGGATTCAATTGGCAAAGGCGGCGGCATCCACGTGGCATCAGCCGCTCCCAAGTGAGGTTAGATCGAACGGCTGAGGCAAACGATGAGCACACAGTGGCCGTGCGGCAGATATCCGCCGCCGTGCCCAACCAGCTGAGCACCTCACACAGCACCGCCTCCGGGAGATCTGTAATGTGAGTACCACTCTCTTCAGCTGTTCGCTGATCTTTCGTCGAAGCTTCGCTCCTTGATTGGTCGTTTGAGTCGCCGGTCCGCAGGTCTTCTTTGTCAATCACGGCGCAGGTGGACAACGCCATCGCTTCTTTCTCTTCGCTGTCAGTGACGACGCCGGTAAACATCGCCGCCATAGCTTCTTGCTCGTCGGCACCAGTTTCCTGAGCCATCGCGGCAATCTCAGGGTCTACTCACACTACAGTAGGACTTCTTCTCCTAAGCTCTGGACGTGGTCGCGGTCAGATTCATCCACGTCCGTCCCTAATTGCAGTCAGATGCATTTAGGAAAGTGCTCACACACGTTGGCCGTCTCCTGTCTCCCCTCCTCTTCGATTTGCCCCCCACCGTCTAATGTTGACGGAGGGCGCCGTAAACAAGAGGAAACGAACCGGCTGAGCTTCCCGTACGGCGCGACTTGGAGACCCCCGGGGCTAGGTCCCAATTACACGAATTAAGCGATATTGATTGTAGATAGCAAAGATCAACGGCCAGAATCTCTTAATCCGTGCAAGTTTGCCCCCGGATGTTACTACCGACCTTATGGTGGGTAGGCTATTCACAGTACATAAATGTAATAAGCAATAAGCAACGAGGCACAAATCCGACCGGCCTTGTGGGGGGTGGGTTATTCACAGTATAAAAAGGGGTGCGTTATTCACAGTATAAAAAATAAATGTAGTAAGCAAAGAAGCTCAAATCCGGTTCGTCATGCTCACACTAAGGGCCTCGCCACACCACTCTCAAATCTCGAAAATATTCGAGAGCTGTCAGGATTTTTCGAGAGGCCGGTTTTCGAGAGAAAATGGCCCTTCGCCACATAGCACACTAGACCGGCCTCTCGAAATGGACGAACTCGAGCGCGGACTGGCTGCATCACGAAAAATGGCCTGACAACTCTCGAAATGGACGTCGAACTCGAGCGCAGAGGGGCGGTATCACGAAAACTCCAACGCTGCAGGCTGGGCGAAAACATCGTTTCGAGAGGGCACTCGAAACCCCCTTCCTGACAGCTCTCGAACAGTTTCAAGTTTTTTTTTCAAGCGATGCTGTGTGGCGGCGCCCGACTCACGAATTTTCGAGATTCGAGAGTGGTGTGGCGAGGCCCTAAGCATTGCCTGGCTGTACCCGACGGAAAACGTCGCTCGTATACATTCATTATCAGGGCCGAGGTCCCACTCGCAAAAAGGATAGGATCGAGGTCCTGAATCTGGATGTGTTTTATGCAAAGGTGCAGAAAAGCAGTTCAATCTCGATTTCCTGCACATCTCCATAACCTCGTCCAGATCCAGGCATTCGATCCGATCCTCTTTGCTAGTGGGACCAAGCCCCAGGACCGAGCTTCTTCGATGGGCCAGTCGGTGTGCCTCCACTCCGGTCCCCTCCCCCTATGAACATCCGCAGGCTCTGCTCAATGCCATTACGGTTTCTTTTCCTTTTTTTTTTTTTTTTTTCTTCGACGCGTTTATATATATTTTGAAATGCGACACGTTTTAACCCTCCAAGCGACGGTACTGTGGGCCATTTGGAGGCCAAGAAATGATGTGCTCAGAAATGGGGGCTAAGCGTCTGATCAGACCACTACACTACAGCCCTTCTCCACTGGCAATTTGAGATCCCACTACTTTCGATTTATGTGTGTCATCCTTTTTTTTTCCTTTTCTTTTCTTTTTACAAAAAGACCGCCAGCCGAGCTTACCAGGGTGAGAGTAGTAGGGAACTCTGAGGATTGTCTCTTTCTCTACGAGTCGTCCACCCCCCTCAATGAGTTGCCATTTGATCCGGCGGAATGGGAATGGTCGTGGGGTGACTCTCAGACAATGGCCCTGTGGCAATACACTGTCAAGAACGGCTATCGAATAGCCAAAAAAAGAGTACAAGTGACACAACAAATCATACACAGGGTGGGAAAGAGACTCCCCACTGGAAAGGCGGGACTTCCTACACTTCAGATGGTCCAGCTTTTCGCACATTAAACCAACCAATCACAGAGCACTGCAATGGCAGATTATCCACAGGTGTCTGCCAACCCCGGACTGGCTAACATCAAGAACTGACTTAGAGGCAAAAGGGCTCTCCCCTCTCTGCATGTACTGCACCAATTCCACACCACGCCAAAGAGCCACCTTGGAACATTGTCTACTAGACTGTCCGATGGTGTCTCAAGTCTGGTGTTGGTGGGATGCAGCCTGGCACTATTTTACGGGGGATCACCTACCATGGGATGCCCGTGCCCTTTTGCTGGGAGGTCCACTACAGGGGGCGGCGA